GCCGCCGCCCCGGCCTGCCCTAGGAAGCAGCTGCGGGGAAGCTGGCTGTCTGTTTGGTACAGCTGCGTGAAACCAGCTGTCAGACAGTTGTTTATGATAAAAAGACCATACTACCCCTGTTTGGTAAAACTGTTTAAAAGAATGATATAACAACCATTATTTTGGAGCTTTAGTAAGACCCCAAAGTGCTAACAACATCTGTTTATGAATAAGAACACATATGCTAATGAAATGACCCATGTTTAAGAGGGAAATTCAAAATATCATATCCGAACATGTCCCAACCAATGGCAAATGAAAGCAGTGATTACCATCAAAGGCATGGCACAATCCAAAGGGAAATTCAAGGAAAACATAATGATAAATATATTGGGTAAATAAATCATGTAAATATTAGAATTTAGGTCTTACATAAGTCAATACGTAAGAAATCATGTCTAAATTTGAGACATTCATGTACATGGGGGCATGAAACATAATGCCCACCATGAATGGCCCATGTTTAAGAGGGCGGGCCATGCATGTTGGCCTAAAGAAAGGGGCTAAAATTATAAAATTTATCTTCGCACTTGGTCATTTTGCGAAATGTATAACAGTTTTGTCTTTCTTTGCCAACGAATCAATAAAACTGGATTTAAATTAATGGATGCAATGTTACCTTCGACGAGATGCTCATGAATAGGTACAACATTTAGGATTCGTTTGAGAAGGCTTTGAGGTCCTGTGATTGGAGCGAATGCTAACCACTGCAAAAATTATCTTAACATTTTAAAGGTTAAGCAAGATGCCATGTTAAAAATCAATAATGATTTTGGTCATCATTAACTGTTAAATAACTTTATATATTTTTTATGTTGAAGAGCAAATTTCAATCCCAAGCGTTTTGAGATTCACAATAAACAAAATATGCACAATATTATATGAATTTCTGAGAAAAGATTTCAAAAATAATATCAAGCACAATGAAAATTGCAGATAAATTCACATTTCATTGATTTATACATACTTGCACTAAATAACTGGGATATTTAATGATAAATCCAACAACACTAAAAAACAAGAATATTTAGCATAAAAATTAAATTACATTTTATCAGACTTTGTCATCGAAGTTCAATGCTCATCATTGAACTACTGGAATCAACAGATTTGGAGCATTACTGCAGCAACCAATTCATTGATTCCCCCAATCATCCGATGAATCCAAGGAAGCTACAGACACGAAATCAAAAACCCAAATAAGAGAAATTAGAACAAAAATCGAAACAGAAACCGTATGAAAAACACCAGCAAAAATTGAGAGATCTGTTTCCGGTTTCAAATATAGTCAGATTAGCAGCAGTAAAAGGAAAAAAAAAGGAGGGAAACAGAGGAGAAGAAGCTCAACCTGAAAGATTGGAAGCCGATCTTACGAGATAGAGCATGGAATAAGAAATTGGCGCTATGGAGGAGCACCACAACGCCGGCGCAGCCGAGGACAAATAGTTCCATCATCTCTGTTCTTCTTCTTCTTCTTCGTCTTTGTCTTCTTCTTCAACTTGGTTAGAGATGCGCGGAAAATCTGAGGAGATCCAGATGGAGAAAGAAATATAGATCGATCGAAACAGATCGGGGAAGAGGGGAATGAATTATGGCTTCGCCGAACGAGATGCAAAATCGAGGGCACCGGGGTATAACGCCGAAGGAGAAAAGGCGGGGCCGCGGGTGGGAAGCGAGGCCGCGGGGTCGATCCCGCGGCCCGCTTTTCGTTCAGATTCGCGGTCGCCGTAGATGAAATGCCGCGCCAAACAATCTTCTTCGGCAGCCTCCGGCCGCACCGCGAGGATAAAGCCGCGCCACGCCAAACGGACCCTAAATGTTCAACTTCTAGTATTTTAGGTTATACATATTTTTAATCTTTGATTGTCTTATTTCAGTTTTACAAAAATTTAAACCCAAACTATGTCAATTAGTTTAATTTTCTTTTTTTTGGGTTTTCCGATCAGCAAGTTTTTCTCACACCCCTTATCTTACGTATGCTATGCCTTTTTATTTTAAAAAATCATCTCCCTTTTTTTCAAATTGTTTGTATTTTAGAATTTAGATAACTTTTTATTTTTTTAATCATATTTTTCTGTTCATATTGTAGTAATAATAGAAATTTCTTGAGGCTTATTCCCCATTTCTCGCCCCTTAAATTTCTCGCTTCAAAGTTAAAAAGCCTCATAATGACTATGTTTTCTAAAACACTCAGTATTTAACTCATATTGATTCTGTTTCATTTATTTCAATTAAATGAATGCCATACTTCATTTTTACCATATTTCATGTTTAATAATATATGTTTGATTTCCACGCTTCTAATACCATGCTTACTTTACTTTTGCAGGGTCTATTTGGTTTGCTTCAGAAATGAAAGCCTTAAGTGATGATTGTGAACGATTCATTTCCTTTCCTCCTGGTCATATATATTCTAGCAAAAAAGGTTCTTCTTCTGGCTGAGCTCTAAGTTTCCTTTAGAACTAACAGTCTACTGATGTTTTCTTTCATTCTTAAGTAAGAAATCTCATGTATAAGCAATAAATTTTGCGACTTGCCATATTTGCAGCTCAAACTAAACTTCTTATTTTCTTGAAATTTCTGTGATTTTATTCAGGTGGGCTTCAGAGGTGGTATAATCCGCTTTGGTTTTTAGAGCGCATACCATCAAGTGCTTATGATCCGAAGGTTTTGCGACAAGCATTTGAGAAGGTTTATACAGTTTTCTTTTGCCTTTCTGCTTAGCATAACTTTTTTCAAATTTTCTTTGCCAATATGGCAGAAATTACTAATTTATCAATGCCGTTGTGTTTAGAAATTCACACGAATACATCCAATACTGCGATAAGATTACTATGATTTGATTTGCTTGTTGTGATGTTTTCTGTTATATGAATTTTCTTAATCTTCTCTATGCCATTATGAGCAAGTAATTTTTCTGATGATGTTTCCACTTTTATGTGTTTCCAGCTTTGTTTTATGCTAAGCTCTTTGAATCAATTTAGAAAAAAATTATACATAGACCAACTCTAGCAAGTGATTTGGTGGCAATTTAGAATCTTATAATGTTTGACTAAACTTGTTGGTTAGTATGATATTAATTCTATTCATATAACTCAGCCTTGTGAAAACTCTCTATTTCCCAATAAATATTAAAATTTCTAGTAATCCAAGGATGAATTTCTAGGAGGCATTTTGTGTTGTTGATAAATATTACTTGGAGATTTTGCCCGCCCTCAATTTAGAATTTATTCCCTTTTTTTAAGGCATTTCATGAGCACAAGGTCCCATAGTTAATTATTTCTCTTGAACATATTAGAGAACATTATATTCCTGGTTTGAGGCCAGTCATCAGTTCATTGCAATTGCTGTTATACGTTGTTATTTTAACATTTGATTGCAATTGAATAAATGTTTAGGGCAATAATCTGAGGTATAAAAATCTGGCTTGATCGTATATAAATTGGGGACAATCGTATATACAATATGTTCATTTTGAGTCTAGTTTGGATTAATCATATATACGCTGCTTTTGTTTGCACACTTTTCAAAGACCATATAAAGGATGAAATGTAGCATTTTTGGCTGCAAGTATAATACTTCTGGAGGCTAATGTAACGCTTTGGCTTATCAGAAGTGAAAAAACTGCTGGAGGTTGATGCAACACTTTGGCATACCAGTGTGCGTCATATGGTAGATCAAATGTCAAAAACTATTTTTTTGCAATCAATATCTCTAATTTTACGCTTTAAATCCCATGGAAATTACCAGGAAATCTCAAAAAAATTTTGGAAGGTCTCTAAAATTTTATAAAGCTGCAATTCTACTATTAAAAATAATCAACGTGCTATTGGATCATCTTTAAGTTCACAATTTTAAAAAAATTCCAAAATTCTAATGCTTTGAACTAATGACCTTAAAATCATTCTGGCTTGAGTTAAATGCCCCTAGTATTTTGTGACCAAGATTAAAATGATCACAGGGCCTAACAATTACCACATTGAGCACCAAATTCTTCGCTAAGTCGGTAGAGCTAGTTATTCCATGAGGACCTAGCTTTTGTTGTATGGTCATGGTTGGTCAAGGATGTAAATTGTGTGCTTGTTATTTCTACGTTCCTCCATGAATCATGGAGGTTTTTCTCTTCACAAGTCAAGCAAATTCAACTTAATGCATGTGTTATTGCCATAGTTTGTATCTCAAAATTTGGCTTTTTTACGATCATAAAATTTATATGTGAGCTACAAAATTAGCATCCCAACCTCTTGTTGAGAGTTTAGTGTTGTTTTGAGGTATTTTCTTAGAAGAAGAATGAGATAATATATAAGTCAACTTAGAGATTTCGTCATCATTTTGTGAGGATTTTAAGATTTGGAGTTCAATGTTTCCCATAGGCACATGTCTTTATGATTAATTACCCCCCTCAATAATTGAGAACTTTCAATTAATGCTACTTATCAGGCATTAATGCATTTAGACTTAGCATATAGTGGTAAATAATTTAGGTTTAAAATAATGAAAATTTATCCCCAGGAACTTGAAGCGGCTGGTAGGAGAATGATGACAAACCAGACCATGATCTCATAGTTTCGTCATCTCTTTTATCAGTTTTTGATCTAATTAATCAAGGGAGATAGTCAACCCAATTTTACCTATGAATCCTTATCAATAGTCATGGGTTGCATCTTCTAAGGGATCTTATATACTTGAGGTAATATTTGCCCAAGGGGAATAATTTTAGTTAATATTAGCTAACAGAGAGCTTGATGCCATATCAAATGTATTTTATATTTTACAACTCAAGGGGTAAAGCTATTGAGGAATATAAGTGCTGCAGTTGTGATAATAATTTAAAGGTGTTAGTTGACAACAAACAACCCAGTCAGAAGAATCTAATCGTGATTCTTTTTCTACGGAGCAATTGGGATAAACAACACGGATAGAGGACTTAGACCACCATGGATAAAGGACTCACATCTCATTATGTTCATTATGCAAAATTTGTGTCAAGTTTTGGAAGTTTTGAGTTTGCCCTTTGTTAACCCATTCTGTCTTTAACTCAACCAACATCTGAATCATGTTTACATCAACATGCTTTTTAGTTGTTTTAAATGATTGCCTTAATGTGAAAATAAGTTTCATTGATCTTCCTGTATAAAACGGCTTCAGTCTCAGACTTCTATGTGATGTGACTCAAACCTTTGTCTATCTGTAACTTTATTTTATGCCTTAGACTTAATTCTCCTATACTTTTCAGAACTGTTATATCACTTTGCTTCTCATAATGATATTATAAGGATCTTTTATTCTTAATTCTTCATTGGGTAAATTGATTTGGGATACATCTTGTTGAGTTCATTTATTTTAATGTTGTGGTATGTGTCTAAAATTTAATTTAATTTTTTGATGCGTTATTTACTCTTTTTACTCTGTCTTGCAGGCAGTTGTAAAGAGGCTGATGACTGATGTACCTTTTGGAGTTCTGTTGTCTGGTGGATTAGACTCTTCTCTTGTTGCTTCGGTTGCTTCTCGCCACCTGAGTGAGTCAAACTTTGCTAAGCAATGGGGATCTAAGCTACACACGTTCTGCATTGGGTTAAAGGTTCTCTGGCTTCTTAGTACTACAACTTAAACTGATTTTAATCTTTATTTTCGGTGGTTTAATGATGAAAAGTTCTTTTCTTCGGAGTTTTCCTTAACAAAACTTAGAATAGATTGCATGGCATTTTAAAGTAAATTTCAATATTGGATTTCAACTTGGTTCTTGACCATGGTTTTTATCTATTGACCAAATATCATGTTTATCCAGTGGCTTTTTACAGTGCTAGTTAGAAATCAAAGAATTCGGGGCATTAGGCTGGGTTTAATTTGCACATGTCATGTTCACTATGTGCTTGATGTTGACGCCTGATTGCCTTGAAGTTTTGCTCATGTATTTATTGGTTATATTTTTGTTTGTTGTATCCTTGGAGTTCCAAGGTTCTTTTGTTAATTGGTTCACTTATGCAGCCTTTTGTGCAGGTTATTTTTTATTTGGAAGTTTTACATGCATACCACTTTACCTATGCATGAAATGGTGTGCTTTACCTTTTAAGCATTAAAATGTGGTATTTTTTATGTGTTATAAAAGATTTGGTTGTTATAAATGTAAAAGATAAAGTTTAGGTGTTAATAGTAAATACATAGGAATTGAGTGGTGTGCATGTAAATGCCCCTTCTTATTTTGGACAAAGCATTTCAGTCGATTGCTATTCTGCTCTTTATAGGGATTGCTAAGATGACTTGAAGATGTTGTTGAATGATTTATAAATGAAGAAAATTCTGTCATAGATGTGAATTCCTTGATAAAAAATTGAGATGTCCTTTAAGTTGGTGAAGAGCAAACATTCTTTTATTAATAGCATTTTTTTCTGTTTTGAATTAAATTTCAGAATTTATGATTTTATGGTTTAAGCTGTTACTTAGGTGCCTTTTTTCTCTATTTCTTTTCTAGAACAAACAGTGAACTTTTCTTTTCTCGTCATTGAATCTCAGCACTTTCTGCTTCCCATGCATAGCATTCCCCCTTCCTTCCAGCCTTCCAACTTCATTTGTAACGCATCAACATCTTTCTTTCAAATTCTTACATCTGACAACTTCAAAATTGAATCCAAAATCATCTTTTAAACTCCCAAAAAATGGACTACTCAAATATAAAATAATTAGGCTTTCTACATCTCGCCAAACCAACTGCCAATCAAATTCAAGCACCAAAAATCCTACTGCTAACCCTATTAAATTTATAACCTTAGTCAAACCAGCTTTCAGTGCCTCGTCCAGCCTACTGCCACACGTTGCCGTGAAAAGTGTTAAAAGAGAATAGTAGATCATGTTGAGAACAATGTCATACCCTTGCACTTAATCCAAGACAATTGCTTTTTACAATTGATAAATCAGATTTGTCTGATTTCTAAAATAAGCTATTTTTTATGTTTTCCTATAAGGTATCCATCTTGTTATTATTTTGGGCATTTTTGTTTTGGATCACAACTTATAAAAACATTTATTTTTAATATATGATGTATCATTGATTAGCATTAGCTTTTCTTGTGAAGCGATTAAAAAAGTTTTGAATTGTATTAGGGTTTTAATGGGGATCAATATTTGGTTTACACTATTTTATTGACAATTGAGATACTTACAGAAAATATTAATATGTGAGATTTTTTATTGGAAGATGTTAATGGTTATAACAAAGGATAAAATAGTTAGAAGATAAGATGCTCAAGATTTGTTAAAGGAATAATGAGTATGTATGTAATGTGTCAATATTGTTGAAGATCAAGTAATGCTAACATGTGACAGATTTAGGTTTCTTGGATTTATTATATGAAAGAATTAATATATAAATTTCAATATAACTCCTATGGTTGAGACAACTTCTTTAAACATGAAGGGTATAAGATGTACCATGTGAAGTATATAATAAATATTTAAAGATAAATTTAATAAACCTTTATTTAAACAGAAATATTATCTGGTATGGGATTTGGGTGATCAGGAAGTTAATAATAATCAAGTTGAGTATGGTAGATATGAAAGTGCAAATTAAGATAGATTTTTGGTAAAATTAGAAGGGATAAACTGAGAAATGATTGACTTATGGAGACAAAGGGGGTAAGCAGATATTGAAGATACGTTATTGGTAAATATATTTGGGTGGTTTAGGAAATATATTTGGGTGGTTTAGGCACATATAACAACGGGTAAGAAATCCAAAATAAAATGGTTTGATAAAATTATGCAGGAAGAATTAGGAAGGAAAAGGGTTGACCAAAGGTAACATGATTAATTTTTGTTTTACAAAAATATTTTTGCAAAATTGAGCAAATATCATGTAGCACTCAATAGGAATATAAAACCAACCCAAATAATTTCTTAGGCTAATTATGATTATGAGGCAAAATTTAGAGCTCAATGCATCCTATTTGCTAATTCTGTTTATTTATATGACCTTGGACTTGGAAGTCTTTTGTTAATTGTCTAGATTCTTTGAGTAATGTCATCTCATGATCCTTTCCTTATTCCTTGGGGCTCTTTTTTTGTACATTATGGTTCTTTAGGACCCCACTTAGTTAATTAGGATCATTAAGATGAATATGAGAAGTCCATTAGGTGTTATATTTAAATGAAGAAATTTTCTCTTGATCGAAGGTATGATATCCTTGGTCAAATGTGAGGCTTGAAACTTTTTTCAGAACGTGCATTTGCCTAAGTGTGAAATTTGAGATGCTCTGCATTGCACACCTATTTTAGAGAGATACATGGCAATTGCGTTGCTTTTAAGCAGACATATGGGTCCTGCATAAAATTCAAATGGCAAAGGATTTGAATTTAATTGTTTCATAAGCTGTAATTATCAAAGTATTTTTTTTTCTTTTTGTTCCGTTTCAAATGATCCCAGTTAATTCATATTTTTCATAATTATATATACCGTTTTTAATATAACATTAGTATCTTGAGGTATTTATTTTTTGTAAAAAGAAAACTTATATTTACTGCTGGTTTATCCACTATCCAGATTGATTAAGCAGATTTTACTACTTTTCTTAAGTTTCAGTAACATTTACTTATTAAAAATTTTATTAAGTTCTGATTATAATTAAATATGCAAAGTAGAAATCCAAAATAGAGTGCAAAACCATTAAAGCTGTTGAAAATGGTATTTTAAGCAAAAGCTGAATCCAAGGTCCACCACGGCCTTGCTTTGGACCATGTTTACTGACTATCACGTTGTAGCTACTGATTTTTTTAAGTTTTTTTGCACAAATTGCTTTTGAAGGCATCATTAATTGTTGACTCTATATGTCATTATGTTTGTTATTTTTCTGGTCATTTGATTGATGACAGGGTCTTATGTGTAGTAATGCTTATGAGAGCTAATTTTTAAATACAAGTTGTATGGTAGAAGGCTCTCAACATATATTTCTGTAATCTAGTTGTGCAATATGTACTTTTGTGGTTTGACGGAAAAGTGCACATATCTTGTATTACATTTACAGATTTGGCATGAGCTTGCAAGTATGTATGTTGGGCTGGGGTTGGATTTGGAATTTGTTAAATTACTGTGGTTATCAGCAAATTTATCAATATAGTGAATAAAGAGAATTTTTTTTTTAATTTCTTTTTTTTTTGTTGATAAGCTTCTTAGATTTATGATTTGAACAGGGTTCTCCGGATTTAAAAGCGGCGAGAGAAGTCGCAGATTATCTCGGAACATTTCATCATGAGTTCCACTTCACAGTTCAGGTAGTAGGGTGTAATACTATTGCTGTTTGAAAATGGAAATAGAGAATGAGATTTGAGTTGCAGTTTAATCTGTTTTTCTTTTCTCATTGGACAGGAAGGCATTGATGCTCTTGAAGAAGTTATCTATCATGTAGAGACATTTGATGTGACCACTATTAGAGCAAGCACCCCAATGTTTCTTATGTCTAGGAAAATAAAGTCTTTGGGTGTAAAGATGGTTCTTTCTGGGGAAGGTTCTGATGAAATATTTGGAGGCTATCTATATTTCCATAAAGCACCGAACAAGGAGGAGTTCCACCTTGAAACGTGTCGTAAGGTATGATGCATTTGAGTTTTCATGGCTTAGGGCAGCCATTTGAAATTAGGGACATTTAGATACATGGCACAAAATTCTTGTGTATTTACATACCTCACCTAAATTTTTATATTTACATGCATAGCACTCAAATGTTTAATATCAGATAAAAAATAACATTACTATGACTTTTTAAAAGTGAAATGCATCTTTTCATGCATAGGCTTAAAGCACGAAAGTGTTATGCATGTAAATATGAAATTTTAGGGGTCTAAATATATAAGAATTATGTGCTACCTATGTAAATTTCCCGTGATAGTATTAAGCATATCCCTTATTGTCTTTAAAAAGAAAAAAAAAAATGAAATTAAATGCTATGATTTGGTTGGACGAGAATTTGATCTTTGAGAGTCTTGATCAGAGCTTTTTTGAAAATTTATTGTTGATCTGCCGGCATCCTGCGCCCTGCGTAAGATATTCTTATTAGGAATTTTCAGAAGTGTTTTTGTTTTGAATAATGCATCCTTCTTAAAGTTTTATTGTGGATAGAGTCCCCAACTTCCTGCATCTAATTGCATGCATATAATATTGTTGTGTGATGCTTAACGAATGCCATATTTTTTCTTCACTGATCACAATTGCCTTGGGTGATTAATGTTCATATAAGTGATATTATGGAATGTTTCTACCATGCTGTTGGTTTTTTTTTTCTTGGTCTGCGTTCACCTACTACATCCTTCACATTGTTTGTGCGATGTTAGGGATTAATGTTTGGAAGATTTACATACATAACACTGAATTCTTATGTATCAACATATCTAACACCTAAACTTCAGTTCTTACATATATGCTATCTTACTTGAACATGAAATGTATTTCACTTTTAAACATTAAAATTGTAGTGCTTTTGGTGTGATATGAAAGATTTTGGTGGTATAAATGTGAAAAAGCAAAGTTTAGGTGTTAAGCAAAGTTTAGGTGTTAGAGGTGTTAGATATGTAAATACATAAGAATAGGTTGGTATGTAGGTAAATGCCCCTTAATGTTTTCATGAATAGCAGTTCGTAAGCTTATAATGCACAGCTTTTCTCATCAATTGATCTAATAGGGTCCTAGTAAGAAAATCTCATCATTTATGGTCTTCAGTTCTACCTTAATTCACCTTCCCTATTTGGGTGTCCTGTTATTCAGACTGAACAGGCGTGGGTGCCTTTTGGGGCCTATAATACATCTAACACCTAAACTTTAATATTTACGGTCATAACCGTCAAATCTTTAACAACACAAAAAATATGATATTTACTAACTTTTTGAAAGTCAAATGCATCTTATTCATAGGTTTACTGCACCATGGTGTTATAAATGTAAATATCAAACTTAGATGTTATACATGCCAATTCATAAGATTTGTGTGGTTCGTATGTAAATTTCCTCTTTTTATTTCTGCTCAAACTTATGTGCTTAATAGATTTGTGTACTTCTAACTGTAGATCAAATCTCTTCATCTGTATGATTGCTTGAGAGCCAACAAAGCAACATCCGCTTGGGGTCTAGAGGCTCGGGTTCCTTTTCTCGACAAGAATTTTGTCAAAGTAGCAATGGATATTGATCCTGAATGGAAAATGGTAATTTCTGGCTTTCTAATCGGTCTAGTTCAAACTCGTGTAAAGATGCACTAGAATTTATCAAGCATTAATCCATAAATTATGGTAAAATGAAAGACAATTAGGGTTCCTAATTGTATGTAAATGGTTTATAAATTTCTATTTTTGTTTAATACAAAGGTTGAGTCTTTGAATGAAATAGGATTAATAATGAAGGTCGGACAGGTATGCAGTTAGATTTTTCATCTTTACTGTTATATATAGTTTCTGTTTACGAAGCATTTTTGTATCATTTTCCTTTTTGTATGAAAGAAAATGGTTCATGTTATAGGCTACAAATCTCTATAACCTCTTCACTCTATTCACTTTGTTATCTTTCCATTTTGATAAAATCATGAAATGTTTTTAACATTTTTTTCTTATTTAGTTTCAATTCTATCTCTCTTCACCGAAGCATTTATTTATTTATGATATTTTGTGCTGATGAATTACTTTAAAGTAGATATAAATTATATGCTGATCCAATTGTTTAATATTGTCCTGCAAATATAGAGCCCAAGCAATCATCTAGCTCTACCATACCTTGCGCTGTGTTTCTGACAATGTACATGTTCTATTTATATGATTCTCTGACATGTTATAAAATTCATATTTTTTTTAATGAAATCCAGATCAGACCTGATCTTGGCAGGATCGAGAAATGGATATTGCGCAATGCTTTTGATGATAATGAGAGACCATACTTGCCCAAGGTTGTCAATTTGTAGATAGTTATGTTCACAGAATGCAATCATTTTCAAGTTATAAAAACTGATATTACTGCCTTCTTTTGGGCTTTTAGCACATACTTTACAGGCAGAAGGAACAATTCAGTGATGGCGTTGGTTATAGCTGGATTGATGGCTTGAAGGACCATGCCAACCAACATGTAATTGTTGCAATGTTTATTTTGGGAAAACTACATTCCTAGCCGACAATTCTTATGTATTTACATATCTCACGCCTAAACTTTCATATTTACATACATACAAAGCATTTTGGTGCTTTAAACCTATGCATGAAAGAATGAATTTCACTTAAAAAAATATGATAATAGTACTATTTTTGATGTGATATTAAAGATGTGAGTGTTATATATGTAAATATGGAAGTTTCGGTGTGTGATATGTAAATACATAAATATTTGGTTCTATTAATGTAAATGCCAATTTTATTTTTTCTTTTTTTTGGTTTCAATTATTGGGATTTAAACATTTTCAATTGATTTACTTTCTTTGTATTGATTATATTTTGAGATAAATTTGAGTTTTTTGATATTCTGATATATGGAAACATACTCATGCATTCTGGAATACGTCTTTGTTCCAGGTTTCAGATGCCATGCTGAATAATGCGAGTTTTGTTTATCCCGAGAATACCCCATCGACGAAGGAGGCGTACTACTACCGCACTATATTTGAGAAATTATTTCCTAAGGTAGGTAACCAATTTTAATTGATTTACTTGAAATTCAAAAAAAAGGAATAAATAATAAAAATTTACAGAATGAAGTTGGCAAAAATATTGCTTTTTATGGAACCATTGGAGGTGGATTGGAGGTTTTGGATAATGGAGAATGTCGTTTTATCTCCTGTAATCCAAATGCTGACCACATTATTATGAAATTATTGTTAAGGGACATTTACATACATACCACACAATTCTTATGCATTTACATATCAAAGACCAAAAGTTTGATATTTACATTCATAACACTCGAATCTTTAACCTTGCATCAAAAACACCACTTTATTAATTTTTTAAAAGTCAGATGCATCTTTCTATGCATAAATTTTTGACACCGAGATGTTATAAAGGTAAATAGCAAAATTTCGGTGTTAGATATATAAATTCATAAGAATTGTGCGGTAAGTACGTAAATTTTCCTATTTTTAACTCTTCAAACACCACCAGGCTTAGGGTTCGTTTGAGGCAGCTGCATCTTTTTAGAAAGACAATTTATGAATCTGTAATTATTCTAAAAGCTGTTGTAGTTATTATAAATAATTTTTTCTCCTCAAAAAAACGGGCATGCCACTTTCTTGCAACTGTTAACATTTTAACAAATCTGAAACAGCTTTCCACCATGAACTTTTTTTGTAAAACAACAAGAAAACAGTAGCCAAATAGTGGTGTGGCAGCAAATCCAAAATGCAGAGCAGTGAAAAGCACAAATTTTCATCCAAATTCTTTAGCATTCCAAGTTTTTGCTAATTCTTGAGCAGCTTTGAAGCACAACTAGGCACAACAATCACAATCAATTCTCTAACATGACATTTTTTGGCTGAAATTTCTCAAAACATATCTCCCAATTCTCAAATTCTGCTTCACATTTCAGAAATGATTTACTTAATGAGATTGATGATTTTCATGAGCAGAATGCTGCGAGATTGACGGTTCCCGGCGGCCCAAGTGTGGCTTGCAGTTCTGCCAAAGCAGTGGAATGGGATGCAGCTTGGTCTAAATGTCTCGACCCATCCGGCCGCGCGGCCGTCGGAGTTCATTCGGCTGCATATGAATCGACTGCTTCCGAAGCTTCGGCTCAGGAGAATGGCTCTTCTTTGATTGATTTGTCTGAGAAGAAGTTAGGCTACTTTGAAGCACCTACTGTTAGTATTTGACTGATTGCTTTTCTTTCTTGGTGCTGAAACAGCAAAGCAGATTCAGATGTTTGGATTTGTAATTTTGTATTTTGTCTTTTTTATTTATTTATTTTTAAATTTCAACTCTTCATATAGATGTCTGGGAAGGGTCTGTGTTTAGGAGTTTAGGATTGTGAAGCTTTGTTGGCCAAATTTTAATTTAATAGCTTTTTATAATAGAATAATGTGTTGATTTAATGGCTACCATGCATTTTGCATTTTGTGTTGAAGGTCTCAGATTTTATGCCACATAATTCTTATCTATCAACTCATATATTTACATGCATAGCAATCAAATTTTTAATATTACATCAGTAGGTTTATATTTATTAATTTTTTAAAATTAGAATATACTTTTTATGCATAATTTTATGACATCAAAATATTATAACTAAAAGTATCAAATTTTAGATGCAAGATATATAAATACATTGAAACGGGCGATTTATATGTAAATTTCTCGCTCTTTTAAAAGTTTTTAAATTTGTTAAATTGCTACATTTAAATAAAGATTTTATTATTTGGGGTAAAATGTCATAAAAAATTTATTTGAGTAAATATATTATTTAAAGTGTTTTTTTACAAATCATTAAGGGAGTGGTGTTATTATGTGGAGTCCTTGTGTTACTCAATTGGATGCTTAGAACGCTCAATTGTCGTTCAAGCTTGACGTCATTCAAGTTTGAGGATGAGTTCTGGGGAACTAATCTTGAAAAAAAAAATATTGCACACATCGCCCAATGTCTGGAAGGTAGTTCTGCTGTGCTTGGTACATGTTCAAAGTCGAGAGCATGACACTCTAGCTTGCAGTGATCAAATGCCAAGACTAGCAATGTCGATGTGCCCTTTGGAGTGTTGTTGCACCCTTTTGCGGCACCCTAGTGTCGGTCCAAGTATTTGTGCAGTTCTCTGATTTAGGTATTGATTCTGTTGATCAGAAGTGAGGGCGTTAAAATTAGATTTTGTTTTATGTTCTGCTAAAGAGTGGAGAGAATGTCTTGAAGTGCTTGGAAGAGATGAGAAACTTGAGTGTGGTGTAACTAACATAATTTTCTTCATTTTCATCATAATAGATTTTTTTTTGTGGTGTGACTTCATGATTTTTTCTTTTGTTCTTGGGTTCTCTTACAGTAAATCTTGATATTCATTGCATCTCTTATGATTATTTTTATGCACTTATGTTCTAAGTTTTACTCGGGATCTCTCAAATCAATTTCCGCAAATCTCTTGCAACAAGTGGTTGATGTGACATGATTTTGAATATGAATGTACAACATTACACTAATAAAGCATACGCGCTTAAATATTGATATAATACTGAACATTACAACAACATTTTAAATTAATACGTGCCTCTCGTTATTTTTTAAAATCTCTTTTGTGAAATTTGCATTTTGTAAATTTATAATCTTTATCCTCCATATTTTTAAAAATCTCTTTTGAGTTTATATTATTATAAATTCATCTAGCTATAAATTCATTCATAGCTAGATGAATTTATAATGATATAAACTTGGACTTATATTAAAAAAAAAAAGATTTCAACAGCATTAAGTGCTACAAAAGTCACTTGATATAGAAGGGGAATTCATTTGTGTTGTGTTATAAATGTTGTGATTGTATTCAACTTTTTTTATCCAATTCTTAAAGCTCTGGATCATTATTGTTTTAATCCAAATATTACCTAAGTTCAGCATTGAGTACGCTCATGCAAAGTCAACATGTAAATTATGTTTGTGCTTACATCTTTGTTATGATTATATATATATTTTTTAAGCTTAATATATTAAGCTTAGAAATTCATTTGTAATAGCTATCATCGTTAGATAATCTATGCATGTTTTTGATTTTACCATTCGATGGTGCATTACATGCATCAGGGATTGTACGAGGCATTCAATCATGATAATGTCTTTTTTTTATTAGAACCCAAAAATTAAAGCATAATCAATCCTTTGAGTGTATCATTTTTTTTAGTTGGTACAAAAGATGAAACCTTTGAGCCAAAAGACAAGGAGGAATATGTCAAGCCTTGAATTGACCAATTTACCATAGTTTTTAAGGAGGTGAATGATGTTTGGGGTAAAAGAGGTGAAAGAGTAAATCAAACTCCAAGCATAAAGCCTAGTAGATGTGTTAGTTGCGAGATTTGATGTAACATTGACACATTTTTGAAAGATTTATTTCCTTGGTTAGAGGGTATTTTTTATCCTTTTTTAATCTTGGGTAGTTAATATAACTACATCTCCAATACAAAACACTTTCATGAATAGTTGCGACCATCCGATATAATAAGTAACAAGACAAGTTATTTTTTACTTCTAGCCGTCGTTCGCATAAATTTCTGATCAATTCTATCAGACGTCCTATTTAACCTGCCGTTTAGGTTCAATGAGATTATCGATCGCTTGGGCAAGTGCGCTAAATTAGCCAGTTACTTGATAATCTTTCATATGAAATTTCGATATGAAAATATGGAGGCCCTTTCGAACTGTTTGATTTCATTGAGATCCGTGCAGATATTTTTTCTATATACAATAATAGATATTTTTATCGAATTAAATTCGTTTTGAAAGATATAAAATTGAATTATTTATTATTTTATAATTAAGTTAGACTGGTTATAATGGGAAAGAATACAATTATGATTTTCCCTTCTCGTTGCCCTCAGTGTCGTCTCCTCAGTTCTCTGTCGCTGTCAACAAAAATTCCTGCATCGTTCTTTCGGTTTTCCTTCCTCACTACTCTTCCTTGTAGCGGGGGTGCTCGCTTGACATTATCTGGATTTTTTTTGAGCTCCACTCCTCTTTTGCCTCCCACTATATTCCAGCTGATCTCCACTGATCCTCAGTGTCCTTGTTGCGAAAGAAGATGGATCTAAGAATCTAACGAACTGGAGAGCCAGGACTGCTTCATGGCTCTCCACGCTTCCGCTTCTTGCGCAGGAGGCCCGGCATCAATTTCCCGGCTAAGGTCCAGAAATTCTTTCTCCTTTCCCATGTCTTTCCGTGGGAGGCGATGCATCCGACATGGCATCTGCCCTTCTATTGTTAGCTCGTGCTTTCCTCTCCCGGCTGGAAGAAGCCGAGGTTTGGAGCTCCAGTTCCTTTTTCTTATTTCGCTTATTACCTTCCATGCGATTTCTTAACTTTCAATTAAATTTGTGAGCTTGCTTGGGAATGCATAGTTATCTAGTTGCCGAAAAAGACAATAATATGCGTTGATTTTGCTATTGCGGGCCAAAATTATGTAACTGAGATCTAAGAAATGTCAAAATCTTAACAAACTGTAGAAAATGTTCTTAGTCTTCAACTTCAACACTTTATGAATGATATATTGCAGACCATGGAGTCAAATCTTTGATCAAACAAGCAAGAATTTAATTAATTTATCAAAGAAATATGAATAAAAATTCCCGTTTGATGGGCTACTTGGTAGGTTTTCCTGTTTCTTATTAATAGGGTTTCCTTTACTATGTTCAATTAGAAGGGGTGCCACTTTCTGATGCCTAACCCTTAAGTTCAGTATCTCGTTGGACTCAAGAGAGGGGCGAAGCAGAATCCCTCTGAGCTGTTGGAAACTCACCAACGAAATTCAAGAGAAATCATGAATTAGTAGAAATAGTCACTGCCTTCATCTTTCTTCTTATTCCATTTAAATAATAAAAACATATTACAAACCTCCCATCCCAATTGGGAAGGTAATAAACTATAAAATTACTTTTAGGAAAACAAATAAACACATAACATAAAGGAAAACATAACCGAAAAAAAAAATTAATTAACTTTTAAAACGGGAGCCTTTAATTGAGTTTCTTAAAACACCACTTTTAAAACTTTCTTTTGCCGAATTTGAATTTTGAATTTGAAATTAGGATTTATTGCCCTTCCTGATTTATCTCGGTTTCCAAATCCTCCTCCATAATTTCCTCTGGATTTGCATCAATTGTCGGTGCTCCTGAAGAACTTGACTCTGACTAGTTATGTTGACAGTAAAGAACAAAAAGATATGGATTTAAACGTTGGAGCTCAGATGCTTGTAACCAAACAGAGATCGAATTTGGACGATTTTTCCATTGGACTAAGAATTTGAAATATCCTCCCCGGCGAGTCAAACAAATTGGTGGTCCAAAATGACAGCAATCTCATCTCGTGGTATTGTATTTTCTGGCATTCGCATGATCGATGATTCGCTTTGAGCTGGTAGTGCAGAAAAATCACGGTTATCTCCTTTGAATGCAGTAAGGTTTTCGATGTTAAACACTGGGCTAATGCCGAAGTTGGAGGGTAGTTCAATAACATAGGCATTAGTTCCTAATTTCTTGATAAATTTAATAGGGTCTGCTCAGCAGGCATGAAGCTTGGTAAAACTCCCCGGAGGAAAACGCTCCGGTCTTAACCGAACAAGGACCAGATCCACATTGTTAAATTGACGATTTTTACGTTTTGAGTTTGTTGATGTTGCATAAGAATTTGTGTGGAACGTAAAGCGTTGCTTGCATTCTTCGTGAATAGTTTGCATATAACTAGCAAAATCCACTGCAGCCTCACTTGGCCTAGGTGGCTACGACAATGAGTTGATATCTAGTGGAGTGTTGGGTCGAAACCCATAAACCACTTCGAATGGAGCACAACCTGTTGATATATTAACAGAGTTATTGAAGGCAAACTCTACATGAGGAAGTATCATATCCCAGCTGGTAACGTGATCCGCAACAAGACAGCGTAGTAAGTTCCCTAAACTCCTGTTGGTCACTTCAGTTTGACCGTCAATTTGGGGGTGAAATGCACTTGAAAACATCAACTTGGTTCCTATTTTTGCCCACAGAGTCTTCCAAAAATAGCTTACAAATTTGACATTTCTATCAGACACTATGGAGGATAGGACACCATGTAAACGGACAACCTCCTTCATGAATATTGCTGCAACTTTGGATGCATCAAAGGTTTTGTGGCATGGAACAAAATGGGACATCTTTGAGAAGCGATCTACCACCACCATGATTGAGTCGTGTTGCCGAAAAGTCTTGGGAAACCCAAGAACAAAGTCCATACTTATGTGTTGTCGTGATTTGTCCGGAATGGGAAGTGGTGTGTAGAGTCTAGGCTGCTGCTTGGTCTCTTTATTGAGTTGGCAAACTCGGCACCGGTCAACCACGGTGTTCACATCTCTCCTTAATAAAGCCAAAAAGAAACGATCAGCCACAATAGCATAGGTTTTATCATACCCGAAATGTCCCGCCAAACCCCCACCATCGAGTTTGGAAATTAGAAACTCTCGCATTGACCCGCGCGGAATGCAAAGGCGGGACTTGAAGAATAAGTCCTCCTGCAACATGTAGTCATTACCCGATGGCCGATTGTGCTTGAGATCATTCCATACCTTGCTGAAATCTTCGTCATCGGCATACTCGGTTTTGAGACTGTCGAATTCTGTAGTATTGATGGTAGATAAATGTAACACATGAGGCCTTCTGCTCGCCCAACTTATGCTTAATAAGAAATTCAAATTGCTGCAGGTAATCCATTCAACGTGCATGTCTTGCATTCATTTTGCTTTGAGAATTTAAGTGTTTCAAAGAGTCGTGATTGGTATAAAGAATGAATTCCTTATGGATTAAATAAGGCCGCCAGTGCTTCAATGTTTGAATTAATTCATAAAATTCCATATCATAAACTCAGTAACGCCTGCGAGTCTCGTTGAGTTTTTCACTGAAAAAGACAATGGGATGACCTTCTTGACTTAGAACAACTCCGATTCCCACATGCGAAACATCACACGCCACCTCGAAAATCTTAGAGAAATCTGACAATTTGAGTACCGGTGCTTGTCCCATTTTTTTTAATCTCAGTGAAGGCTTTTGTTGCCGCGACACCCCACAGAATTTTTTTTTTCAAGCACTCAGTGCTTGGGGCCATTATGGTGCTGAAATTGCGAATAAATCGTCGGTAGAAAGTGACCAGACCGTGGAAGCTTCTAACTTCAGAGAAATTCTCGGGTGTTGGCCATGCCTGGACAGCGTGCACTTTTACAGGATCGACCTCAACTCCCTTGTCTAAGATGATAAAACCGAAGAACTTGACACTTGTCTTCATAAACGAACACTTCTCCATATTAATAAAGAGTTGTTCCGCCTTCAAGACCTTCATTACCTGTTCGATGTGACTCAAATGTTCCTACACGCTTTGACTGAAAATTAATATATCATCAAAGTATACTACAACAAATTTACCCAAAAAGGGTTTGAGGATTTGCGTCATGACTCGCATGAACGTGCTGGAAGCGTTCGTTAATCCAAAAGGCATAACTAACAATTTGAACAACCCAACTTGAAGGCCGTCTTCCATTCATCCCCTGGTCGTATCCGAATTTGGTGATAGCCGCTCCGGAGATCAAACTTGGTGAAAATGAAAGAGCCACTTAGCGAGTCTAACATGTCATCGAGGCGTGGGATGGGAAATCGGTACTTCACGGTTATTTTGTTGATTGCGCGGCTGTCTACACACATCTTCCAACTACCATCATTTTTCGGTGTCAACAAAATTGGAACAACACAGGGACTAAGGCTTTCTCGAATAAACCCTTTGTCTAGCAAGTGTTGAATTTGTCGACTAAGCTCTTTGTTTTCCGTTGGGCTCATCCGATAGTGTGGGATGTTGGGCAAATTTGAACCGGAGATCAAGTAAATAGCATGTTGGACTTCCCGAAGAAGAGGGAGTTGATTTGGCGTTTCATCTGGCATGATATCCTGGAATCCTTCCAGCAATGCTGAGAGCTCCGGTGGAACATGATCGTCCCCTTGCGTCGCCTCACGTGTGACTATCATAAGCACCATCTGGTGGTCATGCATGCGCGAGTGAATGGGTGTATCGCCAGAACTGAGCACGTTTCCGTCTTTGCCTCAAATTCCGTAACCTGCAAGGGATCTAAAACAAACTTTTTACCTTTAAAATCAAAGGAGTAAGTGTTGGCGTACCCGTCATAAATAACTTTCCGATCGAAGAGCCAGGGTCGCCCCAATAACAGGTGGAAAACTGTCATAGGAATTACATCGCACCATGCTTCATCTGCGTATGTTTTCCCCAGCGAGAAGTTAATCAAACAACGTCTCTTCACAAGGACGGAATTAGTTTCATTAACCCAACTAATCCGAAAGGGAGCAGGGTGCTTTTCTGTCTTTAATTTTAGTCGTTCTACGACGGTTTCAGAAATCACATTCATGGCACTCCCGTTGTCAATTATTACGTTCAACGCCCGACTGTTATGCTTCAGTTGTGTATGAAAAATATTGGTGCGCCGCCACTTGGGGTTGGTCTGGAGTTCTTTTTTTGATCCCATCAATACACTCTTGATTACGCATCTGGGTAGCTCTGACGCGCTCAAATGTTCTTCACTGTGAATATCCTCATCGGCGTGTCTTCGCCTACCTCTACCCCCAGTAGCTTCTTCTCGCAGATAAAGGCTAATTTCTTGTCTCTTGTCGGATACACGACGACATAGTTTCCGAAGTCTTTACGCTTATAACACTGGGGTCTGTCGCTGGTAACCTTTGTTTTTCCCTTTAAGTTTCCACTTTCCGCAACTCTGAAGTGATCTTTCGGAGCTGATGCTCTTTGGAAGGAGTTGGAGTAACATGTTCTTTGTCTTGCGTCTGTTGCCGTCACTTTCTTCATCACCGTAGAACCTATTTGTTTCTCAATACGGAGAGCCAACTAGTATGCCTCCTCATCAACGTTGATTAAGCGAGCAGTCCACATCTCGCTACGTAGCTCACTTCGCAAGCTGGTGCGGTATCGAGCCAAAGTTTGTTATTCGGTTTCAACGATTTTGCTGCGGACAGTCAACTCGTGGAAGCGGTCCGTGAATTGATCCACACTCATCGGCCCCTGCCTGAGCTGCAACATTTCCTCGAACATCATTTGCTCGTAATCGATGGACAAATATTTTTTATCGAGCCTTGTCGGCAGCTAAAAAAAGTTGTTTTGTGGAGGTCGCCCGTAAAAAGCTGTCGGTCCCCGGAATCGAAATCACGTCGCCCGCTTCGGAAGGACGTTTTAATTTATATATATATTTAGTTT